CTTTTATAGGACAGTGCTCTTGGTGGTTGCATAGTTTAACTAATGCATAACTGCTGTAGGTAAAAAACATAATAGTGTTGCCCATAGCCAAAACAATTATTTTTGTAAACAGTATGTGTATATCTTCTAACTGCTTAACACTAATCTGAAAGAAAATATCTTTCAGATACAGAATGTTATCCATTCCAAAAAATTGTATGGAATTCAGCAAGCACTTAAGTTGTTGCACAAGCACAGTAAATTAGGTTCTCAGATTTATCTGATGACATCAGAGGACCTGTAACGTCCAGAGCATAGTGGAGCAGTGGGACTGGTCTTACAGCCTGGAGGTAGCCTGTGGGAGTTGTGGGTTGGATAAGTAAAATTGCTATAATAATCATACAGTAGAGGACACCGGCAACTTCTTTATACACTATGAATTATAGGCTTGTACCTTCAGGTGATTGGACACTGACCAGCTTTTGATGACATACCCCCCCCCCCCCCTTGTCATGCCTCCCCTATAACCCTATCTCTTCTCCCTCACAGAAAAATTGGCTTCACTAATTTATTTTTTTTTTTCTTTCTTGGAGTTCTTCAATAAACCTTGGTGTCTTCTGATGCCTACAGGCACTGGATCCTGTGTGGAGCGCTCACCTTGGCACTTCGTGCAACAAGTTGAGTTATCCACAGAGTGCTATACAGATCCAGGGCCATGTTCCATTACTATGATACCCAGTTCCTGTAGGCCCCTTTTGGGGTTTGACATGTGAAGCCTGAACTTTGTGCGGTCTAGTGTCATGGACAGGTATGCCAGGGTCGCCTTGTATCTCTCACCATTATGTTGCAAAAGGGGCTATGTTTGGAATTTCACATCACAGTATACATTTTCCAAAATTGGCCCTAAAATTCAACCACTCAGAGTTAACTTTCGATTGGATGACCGGATGTTACAGGACACCACTGACTGCACTCTTTATTACCTTTGTGTAGAGCCTCTAAGGTACTCAGGAGCTTGCTCCCACCCTTTTGCCACAAGGATTCCTTGCAGGACAGTCTAAAGCTGGGTTAATGTTCTGGACATGCTTATTCTATCTCCTACTCTACTTTGTTAGTACACCAAAGGGGAATACACTCACTTGTACGTATGGCAGAGATCAAGCAAAAGGGAGCCAATTCAGAACAGCAGGTGAACTTTCGCTCTTCTGAAGAACCACATGTCATTTAGCCTCAGAGTGATGATACGTTCCTTGCACTAGAGCAAGAACTGGTTTTAACACCAGTCTCTGCATTTGATTCTAGCTTTATTTTCAGGCACACAAATAGTGCCCTTCTTGACAAAAGCCAAATTTTCTTCTTCTATGTCACAATTTCCTTGACAGATTACATCCTTAATACAGCCATTTTTTTCCAGGGCTCAGAAACGCCCCACCTCTAATCCTACTGCAGTTTCTTTACTGGTGTCGGACCCTGATATGTCGGTCCTAGAGGGCGCAGAATCAGAAGAGAATGAAGAGAATCTTGAGGCAGTGTTGGATGTAGCTTTAAAAGATTTCTATCCCTCATATTGTCACTATATTGAAAAAACTTCATGAAACATGCATGCTAAAATGAAAAGCTCATTGCCTCTTTCTGCAAAAGCCTTAGCATTGTGCAGAGTAAGACTCCTCCATCTTGTCATACCCCTTTGGGCACAAAGAGACCTACAAAAATGTACAGTTTCCTGTAACTCAAAAAAAGTGTTTACTCTCCCAAAAATCTCTGCTTAACTCTAAAAGAGAGTATGCAAAAAATGGGCTATTCCTATGGCTGATCCTGCCATCTTTGCCCTAAGCAAACATCTCATGTACCTATTGAGGATGTTCCTTCTTTTAACGATTCTGCTGATAGAAAATCTGAGATGCTCTTAAAAGCTCTCTTTAATCTGGCAGGCCCAGCCCTGCAACTAGCTCTCCCTGCTATTCCATATGTCACACTGCTGCTAACTGGACTAAGACAATAAATAGCCAACATGATCCTGTATTTTAGGATTGTGCTGTTAGAGCAATTACAGTGATTGCCTTCTGCTCTTTTTTTTGTGGATACCTTGGAACAGCGGTCTAACATCATTGTTTTCCCTTCTTAGAACTCAGCACATCCAAATGACAGGCTACCTAGACATTTGGCTGGGTTATCAATTTTAAAAAAAAATCTGCTCTTGAGCCTTCCCTGCACCTAGAATATTTAGGTCTGATCCTGGATACATTTGAAGCATATGTTTTTCTTCCAGAGCTCATGCTCGTCAACTAAAATTTAAGAGAATCCCCACAGTAAGAGTTCTGGATCAAAAGGTTGGCTTCTTTGAAGCAGTACCTTTCACCCAGTTCCAATCTAGAACTCTCTAACAAAACATTCTGTTGGCATGAAAAACCAGGCTCTTTCCCTGGAATTATCCATGCCTCTACCCAACTAAGCAAGAACTTCCTTGTCCTATTGGATCATCAGTCCAACTCGAACAGTGGGGAAATCTTTCTGTCCTTACAATTGAAAGCTCTTACAAAAGATGAAAGTCTGTCAGACTGGGGAGGAGTCTTTCAATCCTTGACAGGTCAGGAACATGGTCCAAAACATCTTGCAGCTCAGAGCAGTTAGGTTGTCCCTTTTTTGCAATAGACCGCATTCTAAAGGGACACCCAATTCAAGTGCAGTCAGAAAATGCCACCATAGTGGCATATATCAACCATCAAGGGGGACATGAGGAGCCTGGTAGCCTTGATAGAAGCAAGATTCTCTCATGGACAGAAACATACAGTCCAAAGGGCCACGTTCCCAGAGTGGATAACTGACAGGCACATGATCTCATTCACCACCGCTTGCACCAAAGGGAATGGTCTCTTCATCCGAATGTGTTCAGTCTGATGTGCCAAAAAATGGGGACTCCAGATGTGGACATCCTAGCCTACATATATAACAAGCTACTTTGTTTGCTGCCAGAACCAAGGATCCTGTAGCTTTGGCCTCAGATGCTCTAATTATCTCCTGATCTCAATTCAGGTTAATTTGTGACACCATTGCAAATTCTGCCTTGTCTGTTCCACGAAAAACAGGAAGAGAGAAAAATGGTGATTCTAGTGGAAACAAACTGGCCCAGAAGCACCTGGTACACAGACATACTTGGACTGCTAGCAGACGATCCCTGGCTTCTTCTCAATAAGCCAGAGCTGCTATCTCAAGGCCTTCTAGTCCACCCTGCTTTACAGTCCCTGACTTTAAAGTGGTAGTAAACATCGCTTGCTCAATTGTACCTACAGGTAAGCTTATAATAAATGGAATTGTGCCCGTTTAGGAGATATTCACTACTTCTGCAGCCGGTGACATCACTCACATGTGCGGGAGTGCTGTCATCGTGGCTTGGACAAGCAAATGGCTGTAGCCTGCAAACCTGAAAGGAAGACCGGATAAAGATGGACAGTGACAGTGTGTTACTAGATGGCTTTGCTTTAAGGTAAGTCTTTTCATAATATGCTAGTATGCAATGCATGTTAGCACATTATGTTCTTGCAAGCGGAAGAGATAGATAGAGATATATACAGTCAGGTCCATAAATATTAGGACATCGACACAATTCTAACATTTTTGGCTCTATACACCACCACAATGGATTTGAAATGAAACGAACAAGATGTGCTTTAACTGCAGACTGTCAGCTTTAATTTGAAAAAATCCCTTGTGAAATCCCTTGTGAAAACTTTTATTCAAGGTGTTTCTCATGTTAGGCCCTCCTTGTAGCAAGCTGTTGCCCAACTGTGTAAGCCCACCCACCTGGTATTCTGTTCATGCTTTCTCAAGGTTTTACCAAGTGAATGTCCAATCTTGTGTGAATGCAGTTTTTGGTCACAGGGTTCTTGCAGCAGCACTCTGAACCTGGGTCCTTGAACCTTGTTTTTTTTGGGCCTGTTGGCACAGTTCCAATTGATAGTTGCTACCAACCCTTGTATTCATTGCTTCAGGGTGTCCCATGGTGTAAGAATAAGTTGGCTGTTTCCTGTACTGTACAATTAATAAAATAGGAACTTTGACTTACCTGTAAACTCTATATCTTGGAGTACAGTCAAAGAACACAGGCCACCCTCCCAAACTCTGTGTTTACTCTGCATTGCCTGCTACAAAACTTATGACTCACGGAGTAGGGTTCTAGTGGAGGCATCTAAAAGTTTGCAAGAGTAAAATCACCTGAAGGTACCAGTCTATAATCTATGGTGTATGAATACGTTGCTGCATCCTGTGGCATACTCTAGATAAGGAAATTTATAGGCAAGTCAAACTTTTTTTTTTTTTTCTTTTTGTGCCCCCCTAGACCTAAATGCGCATTTAACCCTTGTAGTGCTGGGGCAGATCCACTGCAGGGGAACATTTTTTCCTTCTACTGGAGTTCAGCTTTAAATGAGATAATAAAATGTATTAAATTGTAACAATTATTCATATGATTTTGTGTTCCATTGCCTATTGAACCCACAATATAGGATTCACCACCATTTGCTGGCAGCATTCACTAGGATTTATAAAGATGGCTGATGAATGTTACAAAGGGCAAATCCAAACAATTTATTGCATTTTATAAATGTATATACATACCAAACAAGATCATAGGATGCTATCATGCAGATAGCTCAGGATTGGAAAGTGGATGTAGACTTGGAAAAAAACTTGTTGTCCCCAAATTTTGCAGCTAAAATACTCAGGCCAGACATAGTCTGGTGGTGCACAACAACCAAGGTGGCATGTGTTGTTGAATTACATTTCATTTAAATACATTTCATTGTGGAATTTGCATGCATGCTGGAGTTACATTTTCTCTGCATCTGGTTCTAACAAAAAATTTGTCAACTACTGTATAGTGTCTGCTAACTATCGTTCCATTATACTTATGTATATAGACAGAGCATCATTTGGTACAATGAAAGTTTAGCAGATTGAAAATAAGATTGCGTTTATGTATTCTTGGCTATAAGAAATCAAACAATTGTGTTATTTGCCTTCAGTCTGCAGGAGACGTATGAAGCAAAGCGGCATGAATTCTTTGAGGAACTCCACAGGAAGGAGGAAGAGATGAGACAGACCTTTGTTCAGAGAGTCCGAGAGAAAGAGACTGTGCTGAAAGAAGCAGAGCGGGAGGTACTTTTATTACTTCCATTGCTTTACTTACTACTCCAAAGTACTTTTCTGGGGAGTTAGGATCTGGGCTAAAGAAGGCTCAACCGTACATGTCAGTATAGAGCAGGGTTAAACAATCTTAGCACTCCAATTATGGTGAAACTATGAATCCCATCATATCATTGCTCCAGGGAAACATGCCTTTGGCTGTCAAAGTATTAGAATGCCTCCTTGGACTTGTAGTTGCACAATAGCTGGAGTGCCTGCCTTTGGTAAAGGGCATCACCAACTGCACATATAACCACATTACAGTTTGTTTTCCTCCATACAACCCTTTTATTCCTGTGTTTGAACACAGTCGGCATTATTCACTGGTACTAGCTTCCTTTTATTCTGATTGAAGACAGTTGTGCCAGATGAGAAATGCCTTGATGCCCCTAAAGTAACAGAGAAGGGTACAGAAAAGTCAACCAAATTATCATGGCATTTTCACTCTTTCCCAGACACACAGAACTTGGCATGGAGGACAGTAAACATGATTACGTAGCCATCTTGAAGAAATTAGATTTTTTATAATTTTTTAATAGGATGTGTTTTATATCAAAAAGGCTAAAATATTGTTTTTTGTTTTCAAAATGGCCAGATCTTTTTGGTTTATAGCGCAAAAATAAAAAATGCAGAGGTGATCAAATAGCATAAAAAAGGTCTATTTGTGGGGAAAAAATGACATAAATTTCACTTATGTACAGCATTGCGTGACCGCGCAATTTTCAGTGAAAATAACGCAGAGCTGTATCTCAGAAAATGGCCTGATCAGGAAAGGAGGTAAATCCTCTGGAGAGCAAGTGGTTAATAGCAATCACTATTGCATACTAGTTCTCCATACATCCTGAAGACAAATCTGAGATTGCCTGACATTCTAAATGTACGCATTCTCTATACAATCAGAAAACGCAGGATTTACATATACTATACTAGATCCTTAAAGGTTAACTCCACTTTCATGGGGAAAAATGCAAATAAAAAAAATATATATGTTTATCATATACAATATTGATACCAGCCCTATTTTAATTTGTTATTCCTTTCCTTTTCAATTAGCAGCACAGTAATTTTCTGTAAAATTCAATGCAATATGGCAACCTGACTGCCTTGTGTACACAGTTGGTGTACAGAATTCCCCCAGAAATGTCATTTCCTGCTTGTGTGATTGGCTCACTAATTTTCCCAGAAGTCTGCACTAAGATACAAGTCAGATTTTAGGCATCCCCTGCAATTTCATTCGTGGTGAGATGCACTTAAAGGGTTATTCTATTGGCGTCAAGAAGGAATCCAGGTAATAACGCATGTGATCCCATGTGACATCAATGATGCCACATGGAGCGGGGTCACTCGGGTGATGTCCCCAGGTGGCCCCGCCTCTTACATATTTAAGAACTGTCAAGCAAGCTCAGAGGCAGAGGGCTGGCAGCGATCCTCGGGAACAGAACTCTTTTTTTTCTAATTTTGCAAGTCGGCGGTGGGCATCGTGATTGACGTTGGATCTACTGCGGGGGACACGCTTTTAGTTTTTTCTTTTAATAAAGGACTTTTCAAAGACCGTGTCCTGTCTTTTTTTCATACTACACTTTTTGTTTTTTTGTGAATGAGTAGTGATACCATGTACCCCATACTCACTCACATGGGGGGGGGGGAACTGGGGGCCCCTTTGTTAAAGGGGGCTTCTAGATTCCGATAAGCCCCCTGCCCGCAGACCCCAAGCCAGGGTTGTGGGGAAGAGGTCCTTGTCCCCATCAACATGGCGACAAGGTGCTTTGGGGGCATGTGTTGAGGGCATGTGGCCTGGTATAGTTCAGGAGGGGGCGCTTGCTCATTTCCCCCACCCCCCCTTTCCTGACCTGCCGGGCTGCATGCTCGGGTAAGGGTCTGATATGGATTTTGGGGGGGCACACCATTTTTTTTTTTTTTTTTTTTAATTTTTTTAGTGTGGGAGTTCCCCTCAAAATCCATACCAGACCCAAAGGGCTTGGTATGGATAGGAGGGGGAACCCCACTCCGTTTTTTAATTGACAGTAATTCTTTTACATTCAGCTGTCAGTGGGGAACCCTGCTGACAGCTGAAACCTTAACATATGATTGTCACTACTAAAATACTGCATGACTTTATAAAATAACTCATGTGGTATTTTAGTAGCGTTTATTTTTTCTGACCTCCTGAATGGATTAATTGGTTTTCAATGCATTCCTATGGGAAACGGTGTTTAAGTTTACAAATTTTTTGCTATACGAAAAGTCCTGCAGAACGAATTAAATTCATAAACCGAGATATTACTGTATTATAATGTGGGATTTTCATTTAAAACAGTAACTTTTTAATCTGTATCATTATCGGTAGAATAGTTATTCTCAGACTGAAGGCCTTCTTTTTCACATCTGTTTATGATGTATATGTATGTACAGCTTCAGAACAGATTTGAACAGCTGAAGAGGCTTCATCAGGATGAAAGAGCAAGTCTTGAAGAGAAAAGGAAAGATTTACAGGAAGAAATAAATGCTTTCAGTAAACGGAAAGCTGCTGCAGAGCTCTTGCAAGGACAGGCGTTTGGAACCGTGGCCAACACCAGTTTAAAGAAGGATCGCAAAACGTAAGTGTCTTGTTTTACTGTGTTGCAAATCCATTCGTAGAGATCAGTAAATATTGCTGTCTACAAAGTAAAACTATGCATCAATATAAAATTCTGATATCAAAGTAAGGGGGAGATGCATGAATATAATATGGGAAAAAAATAAAAAATACAGGAGCACTAAATTGTACAGATCATACAATCTGTTTAATAATTAAATAAGATGATTCCATTGAGCATACAGAGAAACTATTACACATATGACAACTGTCAATGTAAGTACACCTGTTAGAGTTACCCAGGGAGTGGGGGTGGTACTGAAATGCATCAGTGGTGGTGTGGGCTCACACTGGAGTACACCAGCTATCAAAACTGGTTTATGTACTACATATAACTTGCTTGGGACATTACCTGGGCTGTGGTTGCTCAGAAGGTCTTTTGTACTTGCTGAGGGGGAAACCATTTCAACAGAAACACTTACCTTGAGGGCTAATTCTCACAGTCCAAAAGACAAACAAACGAATCCAGCACTCCAATCCTCATGCAGACTAAAAGAAATTCAGGATGACAGATGAAGAGGTGCTGCCCTTCAAAGATCGGGAAATCTGAACACTGGTGAAAAAGAGCAGACACGGGCGCACTTTCATCGTGCATTACTGTGGTATACCACGGTATAAAAAAAATGAAATGCCCAAAGACAAGGATGAAATAATAATGATAGAAATGATGGAGAAATACCATAAACAAATGAATATATAAAAAAGACATATAACCAAAGGTACCCAAAAAATACACAAATATTACCCAAAAAGTTGCACAAAAAAAAAAATATATATATTTTTAGCTCTGAAGAAGGGGGTTTATCTCCCGAAACACATTAGCTCATCCCTATTAAGGACACAGCATTTGTGTGACTGTTATTGCGGACCACATATTCTGCTTTTATCTTCGTTGGTTTGTGAGTATACATCCATTTGTCTATGTAATAAACACATGGTATACCACGGTAATGCACGATGAGAGTGCGCCCTTGTCTGCTCTTTTTCACTTAATTCACACAGTATTCAGTGACACATGTTTTTTACTGCATTGTAAATTGCATGTGACTGCAAGGACACACACAAAAACCATTGTTTGCTGTGTGCCCCATTCATACTGCAATGTAGCCCAGGGCTGTGCTGCAGCATGCTTCAATAAAATGCAGACATGCTGCATTGTATCACAATGGAAAAATTGAGCCATGTGATGCACTAAATCACACTCCACACTGCCCCTTACTGCAGCCAGGAACAAACATCTGTTGGAGCAGTAAAGCGCTCCATTAGCTGTCCGCTATAACATGAACCCACCCTGATAGATGTCACACAAGTAATATTTGACCCCGTGTGCTCATGACTCCATGTATATGCAAATAAAGCATCTTAATTTAATTATTAAATACATATGCGCAGTTTAGTGCATCTGTATCTTATTTTGTTGTTTTTAGCATTATGTTTTCCTGCATACCTTCAAGGACTGCATATCTTGTATCTTGGGGATTTTGAATGAACTTTGGCAGTGATTAGCTGTGGACAGGCTGTTGCAGTGGTGAACGTATCCTGGTGTGCAATTTGTAACACTATGGAAAGACCAAATACAGAAATAATTGTACAGAGCTATGCCATAAAAGAGATGACTATTTTAAGTAATAGCTATAACTGCAGTCTTTCCATCATCTTTACTCTGTAAATGCAATGCCCTAAAGCAAGTGCTCAGTTGCTCTGGCAAATCTGCCTCTTGTTTTACTACTTACCGTATTTTTTTCGCTCCATAAGACACACCTAGGTTTTAGAAGAGGAAAACAAGAAAAAAAAATATTCTGAACCAATGGACTGCAGACATAGTACAGGAAATGACCAGAGACAGCGGACGTAGTACAGGAAATGACCAGAGACTGCGGACACAGTACAGGAGATGACCAGAGACTGCAGACATAGTACAGGAGATGACCAGAGACTGCGGACATAGTACAGGAGATGACCAGAGACTGCGGACACAGTACAGGAGATGACCAGAGACTGCAGACAGTACAGGGATGACCAGAGACTGCGGACATAGTACAGGAAATGACCAGAGACTGCGGACAGTACAGGAAATGACCAGAGACTGCGGACACAGTACAGGAGATTACCATAGACTGCAGACATAGTACAGGAGATGACCAGAGACTGCGGACATAGTACAGGAAATGACCAGAGACTGCGGACACAGTACAGGAGATGACCAGAGACTGCAGACAGTACAGGAGATGACCAGAGACTGCAGACAGTACAGGAGATGACCAGAGACTGCGGACACAGTACAGGAGATGACCAGAGACTGCGGACACAGTACAGGAGATGACCAGAGACTGCGGACACAGTTCAGGGGATGACCAGAGACTGCGGACACAGTACAGGAGATGACCAGAGACCAGAGACTGCGGACACAGTACAGGAGATGACCAGCGACTGCGGACACAGTGCAGGGGATGACCAGAGACTGCGGACACAGTGCAGGAGATGACCAGCGATTGCGGACACAGTACAGGGGATGACCAGCGACTGCGGACACAGTACAGGGGATGACCAGAGACTGCGGACACAGTACAGGGGATGACCAGAGACTGCGGACACAGTACAGGGGATGACCAGAGACTGCGGACACAGTACAGGGGATGACCAGAGACTGCGGACACAGTACAGGGGATGACCAGAGACTGCGGACACAGTACAGGGGATGACCAAAGACTGCGGACACAGTACAGGGGATGACCAAAGACTGCGGACACAGTACAGGGATGACCAGAGACTGCGGACACAGTACAGGGGATGACCAGCGACTGCGGACACAGTACAGGGGATGACCAGAGACTGCGGACACAGTACAGGGGATGACCAGAGACTGCGGACACAGTACAGGGGATGACCAGAGACTGCGGACACAGTACAGGGGATGACCAGAGACTGCGGACACAGTACAGGGGATGACCAGAGACTGCGGACACAGTACAGGGGATGACCAGAGACTGCGGACACAGTACAGGGGATGACCAGAGACTGCGGACACAGTACAGGGGATGACCAGAGACTGCGGACACAGTACAGGGGATGACCAGAGACTGCGGACACAGTACAGGAGATGACCAGAGACTGCGGACACAGTACAGGGGATGACCAGAGACTGCGGACACAGTACAAGAGATGACCAGAGACTGTGGACCTTTGGGGAGCAGAAAGGGGGTGGGGCTGTCAAATTTGCATACCCGCTCCCACTTCCACGGAGTTGTTCTCCCTCCCCATCTTCTGGGACACATGACAGGTCTCAGAAGACTGCCAGACCATTCACAAAGTGCAGCACTTCTCACGCATGCGCAGTGGGCACCCGGCTGTGAAGCTGCGAGCTGTCATAGCCGGGTGCCCACACTAAAGATGGGTGCCAGGGAGAGAAGATGGTGAGGACACTGCTGGACTGAGGAACAGGTAAGACCAAGGAGCAGGTTCTGCTGCACAGAAGAACTGAGCGGGCCGGCCCGTTATTCTAACACGGCGGCGGCGGGAATACCGGGCTGAGCGCTCCATATTCGCTCCATAAGACGCACAGACATTTTCCCCCATTTTTTGGGGAGAAAAAAGTGGGTCTTATGGAGCGAAAAATACGTTACTAACTAGCACAGAACAACTATGGAAAAAGGGCTTCTGACTTTTCTCCAGCTTTCTTAATCTGTATATTTGCCCTGGGCCAGTGAATCAAAAAATACTGTAGATTTAGCATAACAACCAGGCAGTTAGAATTTTCAGAAGATGATCAGTGATTGGACTACTATATTTTTATTGAGGAAAAGTTGACTCCAATGCTCTGTTTGAATTGTTACATATAACTGCTATGGGGATGTCTTCATACAGATGATATATAATTTTACCAGAAATGTAAAGTTGATATTCACTGTCAGTCTTAAACCCATCTATGCTTTGTTTTGCAGTTTCATGTGATTGGATGATGCTACAATCAAATTCTGTGGTGGGGATGGTTTTTTTAACTCCATCTGTTTTTAAATGGGTCCCTGAAGCCTCCATCTATTTCTGAACAAAAAGAATAGAAATCTGTGTACAATAGCCAGTGGCAGAAGATAAAGAACAAAGCAAATTTCCATCAGTACATTTTATTGTAACCCTGTCCTAACTAGATGGCTGTTTGGATGTTATGCTCCCTCCTGGAGCTGCCTGGTACCAAAGAATACAAGGGAAGAATTTTGCAGCTGTAGAGTCCAGGAATCGTTACTATTTAAATGGATATGTTTTTCAGGATAAGCAAAGTATTCTTTTATGTAGGTTACTAAGGAAATGGGACATATACAAGCTGGAGACATGTTAATATGCCCACAGCTAATTCTATATGTTTAATCTGCTTTGTTCAGACATGTTACTGTTTTCTAACTTTTAGTTACAGGAAAAACATTTATATTCATATCTATTCTGTAATATTGTCTGTTTCATGCGGACTTTGAAATTTAGGTAATTTTGGATTTCCCTGTGTTTTGACATATCACTAAGATGATAATTGTTTGAATTGCAGGAGTGAGTGCATAAATGGTTGCCTAATCCAATTGTATATTATAAAACTGATGTTATATAGGCAAGTATACTTATACACAGGAACTTTTTCACATGAATACATCAAGTTCTTTTTAATAAGTCGTGTTGTATTGATTGCATAACAACTACCCAAGATGACATTTTAACATTGTTCCAGTTAGAGTTGCACATGCTTATACCTGCAGCAGATTTTAGGGCCCCCTTGTAGTGCCAAAGCTTGCCTTCCTCCCACACATTATTTTTACGGGTCAGTATAACTATGCGGGGCTGGAGAGAGAGAAGACAAGCTCTTACATAACGTTTCTGAGCTGTGTTGGTTATGGCCGCAGAAGGGACAGCATGCCTCTTCTGATTACCCCTGCTGCTATTTATTAGTATTTTAGGTACCCCTTAAAATGTGTATGCCTATTGACAGC